AAGCCCCCATCAATGTTAACAATATGTCCAAGGCACTGTGACAAGAGCACCAGCCCTGTTAGACCAACCAGTGATGGACCCTAGGACCCAACCCTGTGTCCAATGGAAAATATTGCAAGCAATCAATGAAACACATCAGTCATTGACCCAAAGGCCTAACCGAGAATGGTTCTGAATGACTTTTAGCCAGTTAATTAAATTATTTTTAAAAGCATTATCTTTAATTTATTCATAAATTCTAAAGATTAAATATAGACATCTCAGTAAATTTGCATTACATTTTAAGAATTAACTTTTATTCCTTTATTATACTATTTCACAATGAACTTTAAAAAATTTTTTCTTAGAGTTCAACTCAACCATCTTAAAATATATTGAGAAACTGGAACTAGCAAAGAGGTTTCAAAGATGAAAAATAATTTTTTGAACATCTACTATGTCATACCAGTAACAGGTTCATTTCCATGGAATTTGTACATCACAACCTAGTCTAGTCCCCATAAGTATTGAAAATGAGAGAATCAAGGTTCTCTAATATTGTCCTTCAAAACAGATACATTCATACCCATTGAATGTCTCCCATTTGACCTTCAAAGGGAACTTGCAGTTACTGTCAACGAAAGCAGGGCGAGAAATGTATGTGTTAGTCTTAAGTGTGTGGGGCTGGAAAGAACAGGGCAGAGAGCTTTGAATAAAAGACCTGGCAGGGAATATCATCCATCTAGCCCTATGGTTTCCCTGGATGCCTTTCTTGATGATTCCCATTGCCCACACTGCCTGCATTACTGAACAGAAAGGCCATTTGAGGACCACACGATCTCTGATGGGCCTTCTACCTGGTGCAACCCTCGTATGGCTTCAAAAACCATCACTAAGAACCCAGAGGAGCCATTGTAGTAAAAACAAACACCAATTTTAAGAGGCAAGAACATCATTTTTCTGCTGTGATTCTACATGGTTTCATTTTTCTCAGGAAATGGGAACATAGGCAAAACGAGCAAACCAGTGTTTGAAAACAGTGGTGTTGTCATTCTGGTTCACAAATCATTTGTGTTAAACTTAACTACCCCATAAGAATATAAGATCTCGTCCATGAAAATATTAAACTCAAAGCTTCTGTAAAAGGCAGATGTTAGGCTAACTTTGCAACAAACAAGGGCTTGTCAGCAAGGTCAAAACCACACAGTGTCCTATTTATTAATAGGAGCCCTAGTAGTGTCGCTGGTAAGTGTTGGGCTGCGATCCACATGGTAGGCAGTTCGAAAGCACCAGCAGCTCCTCGGGCGAAAGACTGAGCTTTCTACTCTCATAAACAGTTAGTCTCGGAATCCCACAGGGGCTCACTACGAGGCAGCATTGACTCAGTATGCCAGTGAAAGCAAGTCCTATGTATTAAACTAGGGGCCGATTCTGTCCCCATTAGGACAAGTGGGTGCTGAGCAAGGATAATGGAGTTCTAGCACAATGATCTTGAGTTTGAAAGGATAGGGCTCAATAACAAAGCCCACAAAGCAATCGGTTTCCTTAGATGAAGGCAACATTGGAAAGAGTCCCTGACCAGAGGTCTGGAAGCTGACTACAACCCGGAGGGTTTCAGGCTCCAACTAGAATATTCCCTAAGAGCTATAAAACCCAAACATCTCCCGAATGAACTA